CCAAGCCTTTACGCGTTTCTTGATAAACTTGATTCTCGCGCGACTTTTCCTGACTGAAACATTTATCACACATTATCGTCGACTTTTAACATCGAATAAATCCTCTCATGTCTATTTCTATCAATGTAGATTAATTTTAATCGCGGTTTAATTTACTTTTCATTTTTTTCTAGTTCTTAAAATTAGAAAAAGATAAAAGGTGAGTTAAACCAAAAGATCAAAGTTAATCTGCATTGAGATAGAAACGAATATTATAGCTGCAATATTATACTGAACGCGAGTTTAGTTCACAATCATAAGTAATTACTTGTCGAACGACGCTTTTCATTTAACAATTTTTTTTGAAACTACAAAACGACAGCCATATCATTCAACACTGTATGCTATATTGCTTGATTAGATTAATTCAGATGAAGAAACAGAGAGTAAAGGTTTTTTTTTATCGAAGCTTACCCGTGACCAAAGTTTGTTTATCAGCCGAATTCGCGCTCCCTCTCTTTTCTGCCGTAGGGCTCACGTTATATCGGCAGCAGCGTGTTGCTTTGACAGCAGATCGACAGACGTAAACAGCCGAGCGTGTATACGTGATTTGCATATCTATTCGCATCTCTCTCTTCCCTCCCCCTCTCTCTTTGCCTCTCTTCTCTGTCTCTCTCTCGCGATTTGCCGCTTATATCGCTCTTGGCTCTGACCTTAATTTACGGCCCGTGGAAGCAAGCCGCCGACGTAGAAGACTCATTCGCGCGAACGAGCGAGCTTTTCGGCGTGGCTCGCGCACCTGGCGACGTTATTTATCGACGCGCCTAAATCCGTCGCGGCGCGACCACGACGACGAGGACGACGTACGTTGACGTGCGCCACGTTACATCGTACTCAGTCCCTATTATCGCCGAGGTAAGGCTCGACGGCTTGTCGATATCACCGATAAATCGGACCCGCCTGCTACACACTCCTCCGCATTAGCCGCGCGCACGTGGTGTTATTCGGGGGATCTATTTACGTTGGCTATCGAGAATTGTTGCCACCTTTTGTTACGTGCTTCACATGACGAGATTTCACCGTTACCGAAATCGGATCTCCTCTTGAGACTCATCTCGTACGAAATAATTTTGTACGTAATGCATCGAACGTTCTTTTTTGTACTGCTGCTGATGTATAAAGTTTTGATAGGATAAAATATCGACTGTAGAAATATTCTTACAATTAGCAAGAATTTTGTAAGATTCGCATAATACGAGGGAAAAGATAATGAGGATTGAAGTGTATTTGCGGATTGAGTCTTTGGAGAGTAAATACAATAGTTGAAAAGCATATCTTTTCTTGGTCACAAATGGAATCTATTTAAATGGAAATTTGTGATTTGTAACATGTAACTATTTTAGTTTTTAGATATGTGTAGTTAAAAAAATTCAATTATATTAAGTTTAATTATTCATTTTGCTACGCATGCAAAAATAAGGAACATGAAGAAAATATTTTTGTTTATTTCCTACGCAATCGATGTATAGTCTGTGATCTGTGCGAGAAAAAACCTGCAATGTCGCACGGATGCCACGTGGAGGAATTGTAGAATAATTTTATGGACGGTACACAGCTTTGTTTTATTTGACGAGAAGGAATAATTCATTCGATTGCATATCCAAGCGAGGTGCAGGTGCAGTATCGATCTATCATGCGCGACTGTCGCGCGAGCGAGGGAGCAATAATTCATAGAAGAAAATTAATAAAGTATACAAGCGATTGAAACTTCCGTTTCAATCGTTCCGATATGCCTGAAATATGACGCGTTAATTACTCCGACTTGTACAACCGGATGAAATTTAATCACAGAGAACGAAAGCGTTATACCAATTCTTCTTTCCCTTTGACATCTAAATGGTCTCACTTGTCGATCCGATGGAAGATTTTTCGTAAAATTTTGATAAGAGACAGATTGGGTCCGAAAGATTTAATAGCTTTAAGATTTAAGAGGTTATTTTCAAGGATATATACATATATATATCTTTGAATATATATGTGATGTCTAGAACGTATCTATATCGTATATATCTTTTTATAACCACAAACGTTGCCAGCTGAGCTGAAGAGAATATAGAATCGATTTCAATCAATGGGCTCATTGATTAATTTTATGAAAATTAAGTAATTTAAATAGATTTAAATTGATTTAAGATTTAAGGGGTTATTTTCAATGATATATGTGTCTTTGAAAATAAACTCTTGCATGTATATTTGTTGTCTAGAACGTATCTCTATATCGTTTATATATCTTTTTAATTATATATCTTTTTAATCATAAATGTTACCAGCTGA